TTTTGACATCTTAACATTAGCCCTATGGGCGTTGCATGGAAAGAATGGGACCAAAAGTCGGCAGTGCCCCCCCCCCCCCCTTAACCCGCGCCCCACTGGGGGGAGGCTATTCATAGCCCCCCTCCAGTTTTTCTGCAATAACTTCCCAGCCGCTTGACGTATTGACGCCAAACTTTCAGTACCTTCGGCTGCATCAATTTGACACCTTGTGTCAAAATATGAACTTCGTAGCTACCATAGATCGGCCGGAAATGACGTCAGAGTGACGTCATGTTCGGCCGATTTCGACGCAAAACATTGAACCACGGCAATCGCTCCCAAGAGCTCAGCGTTTAAGCTAGATCCAATTTCTTTGCATGAGAGGACTCAAAATAGATCGCGTTATCAAACTGCTATCTCAAATTTTCTAAATGTCGAAAATTTCGAAAATTTTATGTAATAAAATTCAAAATTTACATTTTCATATTTTTATTCAAAAAGTTTTTGACGTTTCGAAAAAAAAACCGCAATATGTGTGATAGAACGCATGCTTATGACTAACTCTAGCAAGTTTTATCTAAATATCTTCAAAAATGGCCAAGTTATACACATTAGAGATGTCAATCGGATACCAACTTTTTGGTATACCGATACCAAACCGATACCAACTTGGTATTTGGTATTTCAATCCTTATGTGTTTGGTATTTTGTTTGTATTGTTCCCCCTCACTAATGTATAAGAGGCTGAAAATTTGGTAAAAAGTTGGTATTTCCCATATGCTTCCAAGTTGGTTCGGTTTCGGTATTTTTTTACGGTTTTGGTTGGTCGTTGGTTTGGTATCGGTATTCCAATTTTGTGTATTTGACATCACTAATACGCATTATTGCAAAAAATTCACAATTATTAATTTTTCAAATTAATTTTTCAGTACTATTTGACATCGTACACCAATATAAATAGCACCATCGTGTTCCTGAGCTCAATCTGCATCCAATAGACACCTTTTTTTTTGTTGAAAAATTTTAACTTTGAAATTTGACCTTTTTTGACCTGAAAGTGACCTGAAAGTGACTGATCTAAGCAAAATTCGACTCAAAATGACCTCGAATGACATAGACGACATCAAATTCGAAATCTATGGCCTACATGGACCATAAAACATGTGGCACGTGACCGACGCATGATATAATATTTCCGTGACCTGCGATGACCTGACCCTGACCTGAAAATCAAAGTACAAGTTTGGTACCCTCCAGGTATCTAGAGAATCTGTTCACGAGTGTGTATACCAAAAATGAGCCTGATCTAACTTGTAAGACAGCGGCCAGAGCCCAAAAGGTGAACAAACCAAAATGCTAATAATTTTTACTTTGACCTGACCTGTGACGTCATCGGTGACCTTGAGGTCAATGAAATTAGGTTTCGCTCGACAGTTTTTCCGGGGCTATCAGATGCCGTTTGAATTTTGACGATCGGCCCTGTAGTTTCGGATTTAGGAGGGGGGGGGGGCAATGAAGAGCCCCCCCCCAGTAGGGCGTGTTATACGCAGACCCCAGTGGGGCGCGGGTTAATTGAATGTGTTCCACCGCTACTGCCTTAAACTTACCGCCAAAGGTAGTGGATGCTCTGTTTTGAGATAAAATTGAATTATACGTTTCAATAATGAAGTTGTTTTTATTCAATAATAAAGTTAGTGGTAAAAACCCGCTTCATACTACAACTTCTTCGGTTGTGTTGTCTCTCGTACCTAAACATCGCCACTGACCCAAACGTAATCAAAAGTTTGCAGAGTGTGTGCACTGTGAGCAGTGTGCAGCGTTTGCCTTTCGCAACCGCTCGCCTTACGGCAGCCTCTACAGCCCCCGGCCCCCCTGCACCTTGAGCTGGCCCCTACAGCGCGTTCACGCTGTAGGTTTATGGCCATCGTCCTACTGCAGCCGGGTGCAGCCTGTACTCCCGACACCGACTGGCCCGGTGACAAATGGCGTACGGCTGACACAAGGTGACGGCTATTCTGTGGCGACCGGTGGCGCACCAGAGCCATTACCGCCGCACCGGACACACCAGAGTCATTGACAGCCGTGCAGACACAGGGGGAGTCATTGACAGTTGCATGGCACATGGGAGAGTCTTTGACAATTGTGGGAAGACAAACGGCACCCTGCGGTACCTCCTACCCTCCCCCCTCTCTCTCCCTCTCTCTCTCTCTCTCTCTCTCTCTCTCTCTCTCTCTCTCTCTCTCTCTCTCTCTCTCTCTCCCGTCTTTTTTTTTGTATCTCGAAGATGGCTCGTCTTTTTCGTCGCGACAGGTGTACCGGACCCAATATGTTATGTGTGCAGCCGAGGGACGACTTCTCGGCTGCGATGGGGCCTCCTCAGTCCGTGTGTCTGCCAGGTGCAGATGATGACCGACCGTTCGCACCGGGTGTAGCTGTCCTCCTGCCCTTGGGAAAGGTGCCATCGATTTATTGAAGGTCGTCGAGTACCGCCTTCGACGAAAATAGACACGAACTCGTCCGCCCCGGCCGAATTCCGCGGGTCCTTGGCAAAGTTGGGGCAATTATGTCCAGCTTGGGCCGCTTTTACCATGGGATATCCGTCTTTGCCATTGCTCTATGTGGAATGGTTTATCTATATCAAACTGCTTCTGAACACAGACAAGTTCAATTGCAACTGATCCATCTGGAAAATAACAAGCCATACAACAAGAGTTATGCTAGCAAAGAAGTCCCCGTTTGCCCAAGATACTCTGATTTTTTTGCATCTAAGCCTTGTTTATTCCCGGCTTTGTTTGATTATGATTTCCAAGCTGAACTAATGCAACAATAATGGACATGCAGACATTTTGTTTCTATTTCTGTCCCTGTGCCGGCTGGCTGGGCACGCAGCTGACTTGTTACCAGTCCACTGCCTCCCAGCTGGTTCCGCACGCGCGGACACTGGCGACAGGTGCTGTCCCTCGTGGGGCAGCGGTCCGTACCACGGCGGGCCTGGCACTGGGGCGGTGATCTGCTAACGTGCCGCTGCTAACGACCTGGTGGGCGTCACGGCACGCCGCCCCGCCGGCCTCCCGGTCCGGCTCAGACCGCCCCCGCCCCCGCCAGCAGCGGCACTGAACTGGCCCGCCCCCGCCCTCACCATGTGGCAGCTGAGCTGACCCGTCACCGCCCTCGTCCTGCATAACATTGAGCTGACTTGCCCCCGTCCCCGTCCTGTAGCACCTGAGCTGGCCAGCAGCGCTGACGGCCGAGCCTCACCATGACGTCCTGAACAATCCATGGTCGACTGTTGGGTCTTCAGAGTATTCAACTAGCTGTTTGACCTTTCCCACCGTTTGACATATCGATATCAACTGCATATCGAATTTTGTGTGTCAACATGCCCTGCATAGCGTAGGCGTTATACCCATTAACAAGCATTGACATATAGCAGATCTAAGCTCCACAATCACCAACCCCAGCACACGCCCCTTTGTGGGCGCGACTAATGATAACTGAGCTGACACCCACCGAACTGAACTGCTGAGCCATAAATCACATCATCACCGTTCCCGCCATCGCCGAACGGTTTGATTTATGAACCAACCCAACCCAACCACTCTCTGCCGCCGGCTGCGGCAGCTCCCGTTTACAGCCAACACAGGACGATCGGAGTAGCTCACGCTGCCGCACGTGCATCATCCTGGGGAGGAGGAGATGCACCCAAAGCGGGTCAGCTCGCTCTCACCTCCGCACCGACCAGAGCCTAGAGTCTCCAGCGGCCTGCGGGGTTCATGAATAACGAATGCCGGTGCTCTCAGGACGGCCCTGATCTCGCACGGCGCACGACAGCATCAATTATTGACGGACGACGGTGCGCCAACGCCGAGCCGTGGCAGGTGACTGATGCTAACAGCTCACTCTGACATGGCTGGGATGCTGGAGGGCAGGTCACAAGACGTGACACACAAACAGAGCCTGCTGTGACTGTAAAATCGTAAAAGGGTGAGAACTTGGTGTCTGGCCACTTGGCACTAACATAGAAAATCTGACACCTTTATAGCGTTTACTTTTAAAAGGGCCAAAAAGGTGATGTTTAGAGCGGCCTCCATTGCCGTCCGCGTTATCAGAAATGAAATACATATCGGTCGAGTGGAGCGATAGTAATTGACTTTTTTGTGCAAGGAGTGAAAATGTCCCATGAACTGTCACTGTATAAAGTGTGAGATTAAGCGAAGGTCGATGGGCGAATGATTAGTACAAGTAATCCCTGACAGTGAAACAGAGGACAACCACATTGGATGCGTCGTTGTACTTGCCTAGCCCAGTCGGCTAGCCGCTTAGCCCTGATATTTTCGGACGGCAAGGCGTCGTGAGCCTGTTAACGTCGCAGTAGCATACATATTCTGTGCCAGAAATGGCGGACCGTGTTCGCGTGTCAGTAATCACCTATAGCGGCGCTGACGGTGTGCTCGGGCCGCACGACACGGCGGTCCTCACATCGCATCTTGCTGAACCTGCCACGAAACACACACACACATACGCAAAACGCATAAAAACGCACAACAGTGCGGTGCACCAGAGAACGCCGTACGGTTGTCTGGCATAAAATGACCGCGCCGACGGGCATTTGCATGAGCAGTCTACGTGCTTAGAAGTACCAGTCCCTCAGGAATCAGGATCGATGGGATGCCAGTCCTTGGACTGCGCGCCAGGTGCCGTTTCTGAGAACGCGGTGCGTCGATAGAACCTGGATAGAACGTGCTTCTTCCACACATGGGGACAGGTGGTGACACACTCTCCGGACCTTGACACAGGGGATAAGAGGCAAGAGCTCTTAGCATAAGGGCTTTCCAAGAGAAGCTACACGGCATGAGATGTTGCACCACCACTAGAGTGGATTTGGCCTTGTACTTACCCACGCTTGATTGGGGGGCATTGGATCTTGAACAGCTGTGGCTGTCTTTTATGTAGCTTAGCCGACACTCGCGTGCCCCGTTGTGTCAGTGCCCTAGTGTGACCCGCTGTGTCTCCGCCCCCAGGTCGGCTGCCGGGCCGCGCGGCCTCTGTTGATGACCGACCCGACCCGGGCCGAGCCATGGTGCCGCCGGGTCGGCTCATGACCTGGCTGGTGGGGCGCCATGGCCGGCCGCCCGCCGCCGTCGGCGCCGCTGGCGCTGCTGCTGCTCTCTGTCCTGCTCAGTTCGTCTGTCGGAGGCGGCACCTGCCCGCCGGTGGTCTGTATGTGTAGCTGGACTGAGGGACGCGGCTCGGCCGTCTGTGTGAACGGCTCCCTGACCGAGGTGCCCCCCGGACTGTCCACCGGGACCACAGCGCTGCAGCTGGACGGGAACCCGCTGCAGGTTCTGACTGCCGGCTCGTTCCTGGGTAACGGCCTGGCCGGCCTGCAGCGTCTCCAGCTGGCTCGCTGTCAGCTGGGCCACATCGACCGGAGGGCCTTCTCGGGTCTGGCCTCGCTGGAGACCCTCGACCTGAGTCACAACGTGCTGCTACTAGTGCCGGCCGACGCGCTCTCCCTGCTACCCGGCCTGCGGAGGCTGCTGCTCGACCGTAACCCAATCCGGCGGATCAGCGACGGAACGTTCGAGGAGCTGACGCAGCTGGAAGAGCTGTCCCTCTCCAACTGCGGTCTGGAGGAGCTGCACGTTGGCGCGTTCCGCGGCCTGGCGAGGCTGAGAGAGCTGAAACTGGACGGTAATCGGCTGACCACGCTGTCAGCGGGAACCCTTGAGCCGCTGGCGGCCGTGCGTCAGGTGCTGCTCAACGATAACCCGTGGTCGTGCGACTGCCGCGTGAGGCCGCTCAAACAGTGGCTAGACAGACTGCGGCCGTCGCAGCCGAGAGAGGCCCGCTGTGACGAGCCGCTGCGGCTGCGAAACTCTACGTTCAGTGTCATCCGGCTGGGACAGTTCTCGTGTCCACCAGTGATGCGTCAGGGAACTCGCCGTCTCACCGCCTGGGCGGGGGACAATGTAACGCTATCGTGTTCGGTGACTGCCTCGCCGGAGGCAGTAGTGGTCTGGCTGTGGCGCGGCAAACTAGTCACCAACGGAACGGGTTTACTGCACGGCAACACGCGCTTCCACGTGTACGAGCACGGCCACGAGGAGAAGACCAGCATGCTGACCATCGAGGACGCCCAGTCGGCGGCGGCCGGGCAGTACACGTGCGAGGCGCGCAACTCGGCCGGGCGGGTTAGCCGGCTGGTTAGTGTGGGGGTGGCAGAGCGGGACTCTGCGCCCCATCTAACACTGAGACTCGACCACGGTGTGCTCGCTGGCGTACTGGCTGCCGGGCTGTTGTTGGCCGTCGCTGGCTGTCTGTGTTTGTGTCTGGTGTGCGCACGGGCGCGACGTGCGCCGGCGTCAGCGCCGACCACCGCCCAGCCGGCTCCAGAAGCCAACCATAAGAACGGTGCTAGTGTTGCTAATGGACGGCCAGCCGGCGCTGGAGCAGCACAGATGACGCCGGCGCCTGTGCAGACGGTGGTGCACGCGAGGCAGACGAGTCCGACCGCCACCCGAACAGAAACTGTGCTCCAGCCGCCGGCTCCGGCCGCTCCTGCGCCCGCTCCGGCTCCGGCTGCGGGGCCACCGGTGGCCACCATACCTCCGGAGCCAGCCGGCTGGGCGCCGGACGTTCGCGCCGTACAGGCGGCCAGCGGGGGTCGAGGCGAGCCGTGGCCAGTTGAACTCGTGTATGCGCCCGGCTCTGGCAGTGCCGTGCCACTGGTACACACATGTGGCAAACGCGGCGGCAGCCTGCGCTCCTCGCGGCGAGCGGCTGCCGGTGGCCACTGGAGAGCGGGCTCCGACTCGGGGGTCCTCCCTGGCGGTGAGCGGGATGTGCGGTTCAACTCGCTGCCGCGCTGCGGTACCTCGCGGATGGTGTCCCGGACTCCGGCCAACCTGTCGCCGTTCTCGGACCTCACCGAGTCGTCCAACAGCCCGGCGCCGAGCCCGGAGCCGGTGCCGTGCGAGCCGGAGTCGGGACGGCGCTCGGCAGCGTCCCGCAGCCGCCGGCGCCGACACCAGCGGCCCAGCCTGCCCAGCTCGCCGGTGCTGTCCGGCGGCGAGCTGGACGTCCCGGACGGCGGCTCGCAGCTGGACCCGTACTCGTACCACGCCGTGCAGCTGGACCGGTACCTGCAGGAGTACCGCTCGCTGCAGGACCAGCTGACGGCCATGCAGCAGAGCTGCCACAGCCTGCAGCAGCGGCCGGCTGGCCGGCAGCGGCGCAGTCTGCCCTCGGTCCGACCCGACGCCGACGAGCCGGAGCCGCCGCCGCCGCCGTCGCCCACCGTCAGACAGCTCAAACCGATCCTCAAGAGCCACGACCACGTGCCGAGTGCCGCGGACCCCCTGGCGCCACGCCGCGCGCCCCATTTTGCCCCCACGAACACCTACTTCTCGTACAGTGAGAGCTAGCCGGGCGGCCGCGGCCCGCGCTGCATGTGTGGACCTCAGGCTTCCAGAGACTTCCAAGCCGCGGCGAGAGGTGGTGGTCCACAGTCCACGACGCATGTGGACCAGCAGGCGTCGTGGGCTGATTTGTTGTTGCTTGACGAACGGGGCGAACTCGAAACCCATCCTCGCAGGAGACGGGCTGGTCAGAGTTGAAATCACCGGTGCCGCGGCCTAAGTTTGTTGGTAAAATGTTGTTTTGACCTGCACCAGTGCAGTGTTTCCCATTGCAAACATAGCACGGGAGTGGGCCATGTTTTGGTGGATGTCTCCTGTTGTTCATGTTGACATATCTAAGAATGAGTGCACGGTATTAGAATGGACGCTAATTGAACACTCAACAGAGTATCTGTACAATTTATGTTTGTACATAGTTTTGAAGATAGTTCTAGCTTAAAAATCAATATGTGTGTACCAGAAGTGCTACTACCTATAGCTTACTCCAGCTCTGGCTACGAGGCAAAGATTGTTCTTTCACAGTTATGTCGTTTTTATAAATAATGTCTTGATTCTTGACCATGGTTAATAATTAAATTATTCGTTTATATGACGTAAATTATCACACGACGAATGCGTGTTTAAGGATTATCTGCGTGGTATATTTTATATTTGCTTTTTTACCTTTAATTCATTACCTATAGGTATAGGTATGTTATGCGGGAACATACGCAAATCAATATTTTAACTGAAGTAGGTACTGCGACGGGCGAAAAGGGTGATATCCCTATGTCTTTTACAAACGTCACATAAAATCCTTATCTTGTGAGATTTACCGCATTGCTTTAAATATAAAAAAGGAAAGTAAGCGAGACATGCTCACGTGTAGCCAGTAGATAGATATGTACAGGTATTGCCACCGTCTACAGAGCTGCTGCTCACCTATAGATCTTGTTATTTGTTACGTGAGTTTGTACCGTGTATATTATGTGCGACAGGCCAATAGCTGTTTGTATTTCTGCTTTAGACCATCCGGTCCCCTAGACATCATCACCTCATTAGAAACCGTCTCTGTTTCAATTAGTGCGCAATAGAGCTTTAGAAAGCATTAATATATTGAAAGACAAACTTTGCATCCATTTTGAGTTTCAGACAACAATTGTTGGGTGACAAGTGGGTCTGAGAATTAAGAAGACCTGCTTCACGAGATGACCGTGATCATGTCAGCATTTGGGACGCCTCTGTTTCGAGATGTGCAGTGTTTGTTTTAACACCTTGAACTGGAACGGCTCATTTTATTTGTACTTTGTGCCTCTGTAGTTTGCTGACCGTATGAGACCGACCGACAGTGAGAAATGTTCGGCGGCAGCACCCTGAGGAGGGGGGGGGAGGGGCGTGACTTCGATGGCTGTCGTCCAGTAGAGTGGCATGGTATCAAATGGACCCAACCGTAATCATTTGTCATTTGTAGCGAACGGGTGACAAAACGCCTTCCATTGATAGGTGGCATGCCACTGCTTCTTATGTTTCTGACATGGCCCATAGCGTCACCTCGCGGACCCTTACTCTCATAAACTTTATCGGAAAGGCACAAATGTCATACAATTGACTTATACAATAATTTGCTGCTTGCTGTCTGCAATTATATGCGAGTACCTATACGGTGCTGCATTAGTACGGCGGTGCTGTAATAGGGCAATGTATTAGTACGGCGCTGCATTGGTACATCACTGCATTGGTACAGCACTGCATTGGTACAGCGCTGCATTGGTACAGCGCTGCATTAGTACGCTATTGTATTAGTACGATGTTGAATTGGATTATATCACGACCGATGTACAGGTATAGGCGACCCACGAGTTGACAGCTCTCACACAGCAGCCCGCTGATAGCAAGCGCCAGGCCCCCCATTCCCTCCCTAACTAATTACATTTTCCCTCATCCGTAGCGCAGACATTGAAGAAAATGTCCCCTGGCATCTGACACCCGGGCAGCGTACCGAAGATCACATGAATCAAACATCTACTTAGCCAACTCAGCGGTCGTACGACGGTCGAAATGGGTCACCGTAGCGCAAGAATCAATACGCCAAGAACGTCCTAAAGCCGAGTTTCACTGCCGTACCACGGGCCTCGGCGACGGACCGTGAAACTTTCAGGGGACGGTCCACTGTCCACGACGTGACAGACTATAAGATTGACTGACCGATCTCAGTATCACAGGGGAAAGGAAACCGGCCTCTTTCTGTGACGTCTGTGTCAAAATGAAAACAAAAAGCAAGCATGACTGTTCGGTCCATAGTCCTAAAAATGCATGCATGGTATAAAGTAGGGAAAAATCACGCCTCTTGCCGAAAGGAAATGCATACTTTTAAGAAATATGGACACAGAATCCAACTCTCACCGTGAATAACTGCGCTTAAAAGTAAGAAAGCCATTAGTCACTCTGCTAGGTCATAAATCTGAAAAACATCAAGAAGACAAATGTTGCTAGGGCAATCATCACCTACCGCCGGACCCCAAAAGCCGACTCGCCAAGTCAGCAGGTAGACGATGTCATTGGAGCCAGCTGACGACCTGTGGGGTGAGTGACGAGTGTCGACATTCGCACCGATCCACCGGCCCCAACCACTCCAGCCAGTCGCCACTTAGGCAGATGAGTCCGGGCACTCGATGGCTCACTAATGACGTCAGGGAAAGTTTTCCGACCAAGTTTTGGGAGAATTGCCGAGCTGGCAGCGGCGGTCCTACGGCAACTGTTCGACACTGCACCGCTGATAACGGGCTGAGGCCGGCGGGACAGCCGCCGATCAGCGCCGCGCGCCGTTGGAAGGAATATTATGATGTTGTTTATGTAAAATGTTGCCGTATACTGCCAACGTTATCGGTGTTTTCAAACTATTTCTTCGCGCAGCCTCGTAAACACTCGTATAGAACCGCGTTCTCAAAGCGAACGCGGTTTGGCTAGGTTTTAATGCGTCAATTTTCTTCAAGCGGTAAGGGGTTCTGCGTAAATGTTTTAAACCATGTATTGTGTAACGCCATTTTCCTGTCCGTAACGAGGAAGCGTAAGGGGAAGGTAAACTAAATAATATAATTAAAAAAAAATACCAAGTTAAGTGGATGGGACAGCAACGTCTACTATTTATTCTTAGTGACCGCTCACAAAACACAAATGTAAACACGGTCTCAGAGAGAAGGTAATTAGGTGCTTCATTTTCGCATTCGCTCGCCTGGCTAGGGCGCTAGTTATGTTATTGAATATTCACATTTCGGTGGAACCGACCAATGCTGTTGAATAAAACATGGTAATAAATACGGTGGCGGCGGCAGTGGTAAGGTATGGGGACCAGGGCGGCGGTGCGGCGGTGTTCCTCTACACCCCTGGGAGCGGCGCCGAGGGGAGGGGGGGGGGCAGCACCAGGCGACATCGACACCGTGTTCACGTCGGCATCGATTGTACCAGCGGTCCGCGGTCGGGTCCGGTCCTCCGGAGCGCGGCGCGAACCGTGCGACAGACGCAGCTGATGGCAGCCTTCCGTGACCGCCGCGACCGATCGCCATCAATCAGTGATGGCGTCACGCCACCGGCGCGGCACCGGTGCCCGCCTCCCGGGCGAGGTCAGCGCGACTTGCAGGCTGACCCCGATTCCCGGCCTTCCCCTGGCTACATTTTGTACCTTGTCCCTCATTTGGTCCCTGCTGTCCTTCCGCTCGACCAGCTCCCACCCCTGTTTTCACCTCAGATAGCTTCCCTGACAATTTCACACCCTCGTTTACCTCCTGTCCCCAGTATTCCTTCGGTCACCTCCAATCCCAGCGTCTCCTTCTTCTCGTTCCGTCACTTTTCACTCCTTGCCTCCCAACCTCCTCCTATCCTCTGCCCTTACCCTGGTCACCTCAGATTCTCTGCCTCTCCCTTGGTCAACGCTCACCCTCCGTTCCTCCACTTACCCCTGCTCTCTCCTGCGCACATTGAACCGACCAGACCAAACGGCGCCACGCAGCCGGCGCCGGCGCTGAAGCCGGAGCTCTAGGTAATAGGTAATAGCTCTGTTCGGTCGCTGTTTTTATATCAGCGTGCTGTCGGTTTTCCCGATATAAGGAAGTTATTGCTGGCGCTTCTTGGCCTCTCATTGGTCTAACGAATAGACTTCTTTGAAATCTTGAATTCGATCAATGAATTTTGAATTCGATCAATTCGATCAATTTGAATTTGAATTCGATCAATGAGAAGCCAAGAAGTAGCAGCATGCTCGCGGCCTGCTGATAAATAAACGGGGAGCGAACAGAGCTCGGGTTAATTATTTCTGTGGCAGCTACAGGGGTCACATGTGTCGCAACTTTTAGATGTCTGAAGAAGCGGCACATGTCAATGAGCCGAGCTATTTGTTCCAGCATTTCCTTTCGTCTTTATTTTTATGTTTATTATCCTTTAGACATCATAACCAAGAACTTCCTCTACGAGTCCCTGGTGTTCATTGTTAACATCATACCGAGATCGGGAAACAAATTAATTCAATCTAGGATCAAAAGAACAGCCATTTGTGCTGATTGAAGCATTGGTTGTAAAGGGAAGTTTGAAGCTATTTTCCCTTTTCCTTTGTTGGTTTCGTCCGACATATACAAGTGCCACCGGCCAAAGGGGTAGGTTGTAGTTGATTCATTTTTATAGATGGATTCATTTTTTAGATGGATTTCAGTTTGTTCCCAATTACATGATCAGATAAATTCGGTTGTCGGTTGTCACCAGAGTGCATCTTGCAGCGCGCTTCCAGAAAAATAAAACACGTCTGATCGCTCTCGCAATAGCCGGAGCAGACAGCTGGATAGGTAGGCTGTTCCGCACGTCAGCCCGGTATTGCGGCACAGTCTACTTCTCACACTCGGCGAGCCGCACGGCAGCGAGCTCCGCACTTCGCGCGGGGTGTCAACTGTCAGGGCTGTTGGGAAATGTGATTGTCATTGTCTGAGACAGATGACTTCAAATGAAAAAAACACACCAAACATTGGTAACCTTATATTCAACAATACACGGGAGAAAAAGGAAGTCAAAGTAGTGGCTTGCTTACAAAGATAATTTCCCCAAGCGTATCGACCCTAGCCAAGGCCTCGGTAAACCATTGACACACAATTGGCTGTGTCGCGCCGAAGAGCCAATGTCTCTTGTCCAGGGTTGTATACGACTCAATCAATAGCAATCAATTCAATCACGACAAATTTGGGAAACCAATCAAATCAATCAAGTCAGAGCAGTTTTCCGGAATTGATTCAATCGACTCAAACGCGACAATGAAAGGAATCAATCAACTCAATCAAACGACTCAAACCAAGACATACATTAGGTTTTTTGCCCCACCAACTTGGAAAAGTGTCCATAGCAGTCTGGTGTACCTACCTGCCTACCTACCTACAGAAGAAACATAAAAATATTGTCATTTAAAATTATAAATTGCCATGCCATTCAAAGATTCTATGTAATAAGGAAGGATACCTAGTGATGGACAGGTGGATCATGATATTGAGGTTCAATGGGTAGAATTGGAGCAGAAGTTTCATTTAATGGGTGCAAAATAACCCAGTGGTTGACTCGCCCCTTAACCCAAATCACCACCTTTCACCTAAAAGTTGTCAATTTAATTTTGGCCATATTCCAGCTAAGTCATCAGGCCATCTACCCCATGTAAAGCCCCTGTCTGTCTCTTATGTGAGTTATGCGGAGCTCTTCTGAAATGAACCCTAAAAATAATGAACCTAGCTAGGTTTCATGCCACACTGGCACCATATGAAAGTGTTGAAAATGTGCTACAAAGTTGACAACTTCATTAGGTATGCTTTATGAAGACAGCAGGAAAGCAGGTAGGTACCTACTTACCTGCCTAGATGTGTCACTGGCTACCAACAGTACCAACGAAGGTAGATAAGTTATATGTGAAGAATTCAAAACATTTTATTGCAATACAATTTGAAACTGTTAGGACTGGGGGATAGGGATGAGGATTAAAAACATATTTAAAAGGAAATGGAGAGGACAGGGACTCTGGAACCACAGGATGAGTTAAGGACAAAGGAAGTGAACAAGGAAAATTAAAACGCGAAAACGGCACGGTGCGACTGCGAAAAA